CGAAGCCTACTCTTATCGATTTTAAACCACCAAGGGCCCTCCGAGATTTTTCACCCTTGTCCAGGAAGGCTAGGTGTAGATCTTTCCTACCAGAAGGTCCAGCGCTGCGTCTGCTCCGCGCCCACTGTAGCGCCGTGCATTCAATCCTTCGTTAATAAAATTTGGCGATGCAACTTTTTCGGAGAAAGACGTCGTAACCGAAAAAGAAGCGTCGGAGAAGCGTGCACTGTGTTTGAGGCCTTACTCTGGTTTTAGGCAGTCACTCACATGCCGCCTAGCGATCACGCGCCTCTTGCATGTCGGCAATGCCGGCAACTCGCGTGCCGGGTCGGTGATCTATGATCTAGTTTCCAGCTCTAGTGTTCTATCAAAGGATGGGGGGTAATTTTAAATTGGCACGTAAAGTGCAGGCCTGTTACACACAGAGATCTGAAATTTTACATCAATTTAAAGAAGACATGTGGGGCGCTTGTCGGTGGCTTATCTCTCAAAATCAGTGGATGGGCAGTTTGACCAAAAAGTCTGTTGTAATATACCGACTTTTTCTGTAGGATTTGCAGGTATGATATTGCATATGTCATCAGAGAGAGTTGAAAGCTTGAAAATTTATGGCAACTTTGCCACTTTTTGTGGCAACTTTTGGACAAAAAATGGCAACAAACGCAGATATGGCTAGACCTATTACTTCACATTTATCGAGTTCCCAAACGAACTGTGTGGCACGTCAATACACCACCACTGTGCCAACTCCAAGGAGGTTATAAATAATGTAAGTTCCTTGGTCAACCTCATTTTCAACATAATAAGGTCATAATATTTGTGCCGAAGATTAGGTGTTACAAACTTATTACAAGAGAGTAACAAACACAAAATAGTTTGTTTTAGTTTTTTTAGTAGAGGTTTTACGGTACTCGCAACTGCATAATGTCATATGAGTGCCAGAAGATTAGAGCTGTTACAAGAGAGTAACAAACACAAAAAAGAAGAAGGGGAGATAAAGACGATATATGTTTGACAGGGAAGAAGCAAACCACACCAGAGCACCCGCCAACCACCCACTTGAACTTCAAAAATAATAATAGAGTGGGGGTTTTTTTCAGTTGTAATAGTAGTAGTAGGTTTTGCGGCGCTCGCAACTGCATAAGGTCATATATGAGCGCCAAAAGATTAGAAGTGTCACGAGAGAAAAAAGAAAAAAAAAAGAAGGGGAGATAAAGACGATAGATGTTTGATTGGAAAGAAGAAGCAGTGTTGATAGGGGCGTTAAACCCAAACTTACTATACTAGTACTTACTTTTACTTATTTACTAGTACAGTAAGGTACGATCAATTAAGTGCCGAAGGTTTTGAGTTATTACAAGAGAGAAACTGATACAAAGAAAAAATTAAGACGATAGATGTTCAACAGGAAAGGAGGGCCTAGGACAAGGAGATTAAAAGTAATGGAGGATGCTCTGTGGGCGGCACCGCACGCCTGATAGGAGCCCTCTCTCGCGGCGGAACCGTGGGCTACCTGCGCTGCGCGATTGCCCGACTAAGGCACTGAAATCTAGATAAGAAGGTTTTATTCCGAGGTCCTTCAGATTAGGCAAGTCAATTAGTAAAAATGCCTTGCACCTGTGTTGTATTAAGTGTAAAAAACCGATATGATGCTGCAGTGGACCGTAGTTTTCACAGTTAAGTTGTTTCCCTTTAAAAAAATTTGAATGAAAGTGTTTCTATGCCGCCAGCAACACAATTTAAATCATTAATTCATAAGAGGCTAGCCCCGGCGCTACATGCCAAGGCCAACCCAGGCTGAAAGGGATACAACACCCCAGCAGAAAGACTGAGATACTCAATTTTTAAAAAGTATTCTTATTCATAAATATATATATAGGCTATATATATATATAATTATTATGAGTATATTATATAATTATTATGCGTGTGTATGTATATACATATTATACATTCTAATTAAAGATATTGCTTTCCTTTGTGTGTGCAAATTAGATGCTACTGTAGTCTAAATGTAGATATGTAGAGGCTCCATTAGAACATGAAATCAATATTCAACAACAATAATGATGAATATTTTCTATGTTAAAGGAACACCAAACCATATCAGATGAGGGGAGAGGGTAGGGTGGGGTGGATAAGAGTTTGAGTCTTGTTAGATAGAACTATACTCGGTTTAATTCTATTGTTGTAGTCTTCACCTAAGATCCCACAATCAATAATTCCGGTTCACTTAAGATTTTGCAGTTAAAAAATAAACCAAACAAAGCAACAAATTTTACTACACAAGAGTCATCACTAAGTTAATTATCCCCCATCTGGAGTGTAATAAGGGACTAAAAACGCTGCTCTCCATATCATACTTTACTGAAAAAAAAAAAATCCTTCAAAGGTTATCCACGCTCATGCATGCGATCACACCTCCAAGGGTGCTGTTATTTCTTTTTTTTAGGAATATTTGAAATCATTGTGCGCTCCACTTTGTGAAAACCAGGAAACAAAATTATTGTGATCAATAATATTATTTATAGACCAAGACATACTGTTAGCAATTAGATAAAGCAAACATCGACCCTCTTTTGTGTCCGCTATTCCTTACACATAAAGTTAGTTATATGGCACACGCCTAGAATCATGCAATCAGTTTAAAAGTATATTTTCATCCATTTCTTATAAAATTTTATATTTTAGCATCTTCAAAGATTATCTTTTTAATTTGGTATGGTTGATAATTTTATGTTACCCGGACAAGTTTTCTTCTTATTTTATACATCTTTTTTATTTTTAAACTAGATTATAACATAAAACTCTTAAAGAATTGAACAGTCCGTATCACACACATAATTTTTTCTCCCTGTCATTATCCGTCAGCCCGTCAGTTGATCACAATCTCTCTCTCTCTGTCTGTCTCACTCACTCTCTCTCTCTTATTTAATTTTTCCCATTCTCCTTCGTCCCTTCCCAAGGCCCGCCCCTCCTCTTTCATCCCAGCCCCATCCCCTCTTCCTTGCGTGCATTCCCCCACCCCGATAAAATTCTATAAAAAGAAACGCCACAGTTCGTGATTTAGCCCACACTCTGTGGCCATATTTGATCCCCAACGCGGCGTACTGCTCGCGGCGCCGCGAAGAGAGAGAGGAGGCTCCATTAGTTCTAAGCTCCTTGGCCTAGGAGCAAATTACACAACAGCACCTGCCAACCACCCATCATACACGACTAATGTAGTGTACAGTCTCCGGAAACCAATTCACATTGAAGTAAGGAAGCGTAAGGGCAATAGGAAAACCAGAGATGTTAAACAGTCACAGTCCTGCAGCATAGATTCCGGGAAATTCATGTGACAGCTTATACTTATACAGTTGTATATTAAATAAAACCCAGCACTCCATACGTACTGTCAATGTAAAAGAAGGCGAACATTCCCCTGAGTCATTTTGCTCAGTGTCACAGCAACAAAACAAATTGAAGTTCAAGCCAAAGACAAACACTCATACATTTAACACAATACAAAAGACTCAACAAAAAAACCCAACAGCCACGGAACAAAAAACAAAACAAACAAGACTGCAAGTTCATTTTTATTATCAATTTATTCAACCAATTAATAAATAAAACACCATATACTTCATTACATAAAATACTTCCTGTGTTTGACTAATAAACCATATGTAATAAAAACTAACCTATTGATCTGCATCCCTTGTAAGCGAACAGTACATGTTTATTATTTGGCAAGAGTACAAGTCAGCTACATTACAGTGACCCAGCATTTTCAATTGCTTTTTCAAAGTAAGGAAGAGAGTATTCTTGATAAGACTCCAAAGCCAATAATAAAACATGAATACAAGAAGTGGCTTACTCATTTCATGGTCAAACAAGTCCATCCCTGACCATTACCAATGCTGTGATCAAAGTTTATTCAAATCAATTGCTGCTTGTATACCCTCTGCACGTATCTATTCAATATGTCGAAGAGAGAAAATAAAAAACACACCGCAATCCACCCTAAAGGAAGGAACTTCTGATTCGAGACATTTTAAAGTTAAACCATATTTCTTCAGAATAAGTCACGAATCTAGCAAAACAATCTTTACTCGGAAACTAAATATTTTAAAATAATTTGTTCCCAAGAATTTTACTTATTCATAGACCAAACAAAATCCATACTTCTGAAAAAGGAGAAACATCCTGATACCATGAATGCCCCACCTTTGAAAAGAGATAGGTAGAACTCACAGGAATTGTCACCCCCCCCCCCCCCCAAAAAAAACCTGCTTTCAGACAGGCAAAAGAGCTCCACCATCCCACTAAAGACTTGCAGCGACAAGTATTTAAGTTAATTTGTTTCAGAAATCCAGAACAGCCTACAACATTGCCTTCGTGTCCTATGTTCAGCCTATAGTGCCACCTAAGGGGCCCCATCTTTTTATGTTTGTACAACTGGCTTGAACACAACCGAAAGACTATTTTGAAAGACAAAAAAATCCTCATGCATACCAGCAAAAATATGTTCCAATTTTCTTTTAAAACAGACTGTATATATGTCACACCATACACTCACAGCATAATATGCACCAGACTCTTGTGACAGTCCATTCAGCCTAAAAATATTTCAAAGCACACACATTTGTAATTCATCTTTCAGAAAATTTAACAGATCTCAGACTTACTGGGCCATACACTAACACACCATGGCTTAGAAAGCAGGGATTTACTTCCTTTCCTTAATTTGCTTTTGTAGAAAGCATCAACCATTTAGTACGGGGGGCCTCAAGAATATACTGAGACTGTCATACAACACTATAGTACGTCAACATTCCGTTTAAAAAATGGAAATCAAGTATGTTAAGTTTCATGAGGCCAATCAATTTATCTTTGACTCATTCCTCTTCTTAAAAATAGTAAATTTAGACGACTAAGTCTTGTATTACTGCAAAGACTTGGAGCAAAATTAATGTTTATTTGCTTCTCCTGAAGACCTCACATTTTGACATAGTGTTAAATTAGAGCAACAATATACAACCGTAGCTTTAGTTTATATTTTAAAAATTACTTGCACACCAGACGCCGACAGTCCACATATCCAGCACATTAGCAAACACCATCATGAATGCACAAAAGTTATCTGTTCATTGTACAAAACCATAGAGCAAAAACACACTCAAAAGCCATTATCCTTATCTCTTAACGTCTCCAGACAAGACATGGACACTTCTGCATAGACAAACGAAATCATTATATTGGGATATAAAGGTTCAATTATTCTTCTTAAACTGGCTTCAATTTAAGCCTCCCTGCTCACAACAAGGGAACAATCCTTTTTTAAACACTGTGATCATAAATTTATGAACAAATGGAATTTGTAATGCTGTGTATGACACTCATGTGTGGTCCCCAAAACGAAGTTCAACAAACAAAATGGACACTTTCATCACAATCTCAGGATAGACAAAGGAAGGCAAGTTGTCCACAGACACCTAATTTTTTTCACTGTGCTTATTGCCATGGCTGGTCCATATATACCAGTGTACAAAGCCATCATGGCATGAATGCCTACAAGGTAAGAGGTGCAGAAAAAACCCAAAACACAAAGGTGCTAGGACAAAGTACTTCCATATACTGATAATGAAGTGAAGCAAAAAAACAAACAAAAAACAACCCCAAACAAACAAAACAACTGACCTATAGTCATAAATTTCCTATAAAAGTATGAAAAGTTAAGCGATCATAGAAAACAAACCGGCATATATAAAATAAGAGGACTTCCTCTACTCTCCATCCAGTACTTATTTCTTTAAAAATGTAAAACTAAAGCTAGCAAACTGTATGCAAGACAAAGGTAAAGCCTCAAGTTCTATACGCTATAAAAATAAAAACATTAAAATCATGAGGAAGCTCTGGAATATTTCTCACCACCTGAGCTGTATAATGATACTACATTCTTTTGCAATAATAGAGAGAAACCTGTACTTGAACAAAGGTCTGCCATTGTAGTCACTAGAAAACATCTTTCCAACACCATTAACATCTGGCATATTTTCAAAAGAATCAATTACAAATGTAAAACTGTTCATTCAAGAATTTAAATAATGCTTTATGTAAACCTAATACTCAGGGAAAGCCATTAGAACTACTAAAAATAACAATGAGCATTAAAATAAGGACAACATGTCGCATTGTCATTTTCACACTTCACAAAATTTCAGTTGCCAAAATCTTTCAATAGATGCTAAAAAGCAATTTAAACAAATTGAAAAGCAGCAATTCCTTTCATCTAAGACTTACGACAGCGAGAAGCCACAAAGTTATCTTTCCCTTTGCCAAATAAAGATTTCAGTGCTGCAAGGACGACAGTTTTCAAGTTGCTACAAAAAGCGCAAGTACAGTATCATGTCTCTGTGCCCACAGCCATGTCATGACCTCTCTACTCATATCTTGCACCAAATCACAAGTATTGAGTACAAAAATAAACCTCTTCTGTCCCTGTCTGTACTAGGGGGGGGGGGGGGGGGGGAGAGAAGCGTTCTTTCTCATGGTCTGTGTCTTTGTTGTAAATTCAGTAACCTTTGAGCATCTACCCTTCGGCCTAGTGCCATGATACCATGGTTTAAGTGCCTGCATGAGCCATAACATTGCCTGATTATAACTTTATCAAGTACAAAATACAGTTTTCAAGAAACATTCATAAACATCAGGATCATCAACAATAACCTGTGATCACACATGCCTGCCTAATGCAATTCAGTAACAAAAATATTCTTTATCTTTTCTTCAATGCAAGCTGGTAGAAATTCCATGCACGTATAATGAATTCAGAAGGAAAAAAAAACCCCTGAAATAAGCATATTCAAACATGGCCGCTCAGGTCAACAATGAAAGCTCTACAATCTTGAGTGTTATTGAAGGTCACCACACAATGCTGATGTAAATGCTGTCAATTTTGAAGTAACAACAATGGCATGACTGGCAAAATTAAAATTTGAGCAAATTATTTTCCAACACTACCATTCATTTGCAGTGTTGCTATGAGGTGTTGTGACCAGACGGCTATTTCAATCCAATGTTCACCGTTCACCTGGATTTCAGTTCACCAAGTACAATTTCTTTTCAAGCACACACTTCATTACTTGTAAACACTGCTCTAGTAATCAAACCTACACAGTGACTGACACATTTTGCCCCAATCCAAGATGTCTTTTCCAAAACGGGACTCCAAAGTGAAGCCAAAGTTAAAAACATGGAAATACCTGTTAAGCAAAGCAAGCTAGGCGGGACAAGTTGTATTAGTAGTAAATGGGGTGAGTTCATTATTCTCTACAAATTTCGATTAACAATCATACAATCTGGCATACTTTGCTTTACAGAGGTCGCCGCAGTTTTGTAGAATGCTGATAAAGCCGTGTCAGAATTCACAGGAAATATGAAAGGCATTAAATCATATGTAAGGCACTTTGTTAAATCTGACGAGTTGTACACCATGGTAATGGGCTTGTCCCCCCTCCTCTCCCTTCAGGACTTACTGCAAATTGGGAAATCCCAATCCAGTGAGATAAGAGGAGTAATAATTCCACTTCCTCCATCCACATCATCTCTTTATGACCAAAAAATAGTAACACGAGAACCCCCCCCCCCCCCCAAAACCATCTCTCCGTTTCCACATGCCTGCGCATAAGTGAAGTACTGAAACCAGGAATTTGCATCCCCTTCATCAACCCCCTAAAATATCAATGGAACAGATGAGAATGTGAGGCCAGAAATACACTACTAGAAAAAGATGAAACAAGAAAACAGAAGTGCTGGGAACAAATGTCCCCAGGACCCACTGGAAAGCTGCCCTAATTATAATAGCAATAATGCATGATCCTCAAGTTACATGCACATTACGCTTTCCACAAGTGATACCCGATACTGTCTTTCATTATGCCTAGAGGGAAACATCTGCATTCTTTGCAACAAATAATGTCAATAAATTGCATAACCTTTTTTGAACTCGCCCTTCTGGACTCATCCAAACAAATAAGAACACACTAAAAAACAAAACAACCCCAAACAATTCAAACCACAGCAGAATCCGATAAATGTTAGCTTGGTGAATGAAAAGTCTGACCGCGGGAAAGAAACAAAGACAATTTTCTGTGCATATAATTATACCTCTGGTTTATGCTAAGTGTACTTCAGAGGGGAGGAAAAAAACCCAAAAACATTCAACTATTCCTTTAATCAGTGCCACCATTTGCCCACAAATTAGCAAAATTCAGGCATACTGGTTATCAATGTAAAATACAAATTCAGCTGTAAACTAGAAGCTTTGTCAGTTCTTTTTGGAAGAAAAAAAATAATAAGTTAGTGACCCACTTTCACGTTTATAAAAAAAAATAATCTTTCAAAAAATTTAAAGTGGGAAATGCCATGTCTGGTACATGGGAAACTCAGATAAAAGTTAGGTAAAAACCCAAACATTTTGCTAACAACCAGATAGGAAATGCTGTACAAATTATGTCCTAACCAGACAAAAGAACCACTGTACAAATTACGTTCTTTCTCAAGACAAAATTATTACTGTACACATTTATTGTAGCTTTCAATCTAAATACTTCACATTATATCAAGCAAATAGCCATTAGAACCAGTATTGTCCAAAACAGTATTGCTTCTGAAGAACAAAGAACATATTGCTAAGAGAGGTACCACTAAACAGAAACACCCGTTACCTTTGTGCATGTGCACAAAAACCATTGTTGGAATCTTTCCTAGATAGCTCTTGATTACATAAGCACTGCAGAACAGATATATAGAAATGTACCCATGCCGAGACAATGTGGTTCTTTTGGGGTTGGAAGGGGGTGAGTGGGGGGCACAGCCATATAATGTGAAGGCAAACACACTGTGCATCAACACATATCTCAAAAGGGATAGGGACTGGAGTGGAAAGAAGATATCACACAGTGCAGCACAAATCAGGAAGAGAGCATGCATTAGTAAGTGTATACAGCATCAGTGTGGAAGGTTGCCTCAAACAGGTACCTGGGAAAAGGATCAGAGAGAAAAAAAAAATAGATCTCAAGACAAAGCACCAGGGCAAAGTGAGAAACCTCGTATCCCATACTTAAAAGATTATTTTTTTTCGTATAGAATCACTGCCCTGTTTTAATTAAGAAATGCCAACAGTATTTTAAGCTGTAACAAACTGATCAACAAAATATTTTAGAATGCAGAGCAGAGATAAAGCATTAGAATTTAATGCTGATGTTAGTACTAAAGGGATATTGAAGTACAAAATACAAGTATCTAGTAAAATAATTCAGCAAACCTAAGATTCATTGCCACACATGATAAGAACATATTTATATTAACCTAAGCTACCCCAAAGGGATCGGTTCTGGGACTCCCAAGTAGATGCGCTCAAGTGCTACATCGCATATATTTGCAAAAAAAATGACGTTCTATAATAACTCGAAAATTCCGGAAAGGTGGCACCCTTTAGACAATGTCTTCGGCCACTCTTACCATATCGTGGTCATGAGAAATGTCGGAGCCTGGCTGCAGAGAGGAAAAGTAGCGTACATCCTTGTCCACATCTGTCTGCAGCCTCTGCTGTGTGTGAACCAGGTCCTCGTGGTATGGGTTTTGCTGGGTCGTAAAATAATCTGGAACCAACAAAATGGTAAATATTACAAGATAGGAAATAATGAGAAACCACACCATAGCACCCGCCCACCACACGCCTATCTTTTTAGAATCGAGTATGTTCTGAAACAACTTACCCCCAAGTACACCACATTAAAAAAAAAGAACTTCACAAAAACAACAAAAGAACCTGGATTACCCGATAAAAAATACCTTTTTTTTTTTACTTGTAACAATAACAAATGGAACAAACAGAATATGTTCCAACAGAATCAAAGATGCCAACTGGCTAAGAAAAAAAAATCTGGAATCTTTCGGACCACCTCGAAAGTTGTTTTGGTTGAGTACATGCTTTACAGCACCATCAACAAAGCCCATGGAAATACGCACACTAGGACTCAAATCTATGAACGGCATTGTCTAATGCACCTCATAATACGAAGACACTGTAAGACATGCACAATGAGAGGAAAATATAAGTAAATGTATAAGTAGGAGCATCTTCAAAATTTAAAAAATCCATATTTCCCCAATTTATCCTGAAAATCAGTATCTCTGTGGAATAACTGGTTCTTCCCCCCCCCCCCCTCATTTTCTAAATTTTCAGATCCAACAAAAGGTAACACGACTAAGCATAATATTTACATCCCATCACCAAAATATGGACTTAAAACCGCAGCAACCATAATCGACATGTAATCTTACATAATAAAATAGAATCTCCCTTCTTGCTTCCATGTAAAGGGGCCAGGGAAAAATAATAAATAAAAGCAACTAAAGTGGTACCTACCAAGAGGCATTATCCTCAAAGCCATGACTTTGGAAAGAGACAGCCGGACATTGGGCACTGGGTCTGTGCCCAGGTGAAGTAGACTAGGTAAGAAATTGCGAGCAAACACATCGGGTGGGAGGCTGTTCTCCTCCAGAATCACATAACACAGCTGAGCAAACCTGAAATTGTTGTGAAGTTTCTTTCTTAGTTTTTTAAAGAAAATTTTACAGCACATTCAACACAATCAGGTCATATTATAAGAGTTGAACAAGTCTGATAGGAAAGAAGAAGCAAACAACACCTGGGCACCCTCCAACCAACCACTGCCATGAAGTCCAAAATATTACAGGCCACGACTCCAAATGGAGTAGACATGAAATATAACCTAATACTCCCTATCCCATTCCGTAGTCATACTTCGCAACGCTTAGACTTAATGAACTTTGGCGACCCCAACAAATGCCGGTGCTCACCGATGCCGTATCTTGTAGTGCGTTGCGCGAAGGGTTACTGACCGGTCACGATGGCGAATCCGACAATCTAAAAATCGGACGAGACTCATATTTTCTCTCCCCTCCCCGACAGCACGGTGACGAGTCCGAGTAATGATTAAATTTTATTTGCACGGCAACACAGCGTTTATACTGTACAACCTGCATATCACAAATGTTGCATTATAATCAGTATATCGTCGGCAAATTTCTGGGTGGTAACGAAAGCAAAAGTAGATCTTCATTTTCCCGATCGAACCTCAGTGTCACATACACTTCCGTCTGCCACCATAATAGCCGCCTTTTCGTGTGTAACGTACTCTCGGACAGGGAGAATGTGAACGGATATTATATCACAATAGCGACTGGCAAAAACCGAGTCATGTACTGTAGCTAGGGTTCACTGAAAAGTCTTGCTGGCTTCATCACTGAGTAGGCAGGCTAATTTGCTACTGTTTACCAAATGTTTACTACCTTCAAGGCAAATTTACTACCATTTACGACCTTTACGGTCTGGGCGTTGAATTTATGGCTTTTTTACGACTTTACTGGGCACCCTGACCTTTGCAGACAAGAATGTACTCATTCAATTTCTACAATTATTCCGATGTAAATCCCCCAAATATTTCAGTGAGCATTACAAAGCATTGCACATTTGTGCACATCATAGCTATGCAGTCTCTTTTTTTACTTCGGACAGCTTAAAAACTGATGTAGTGCAAATAATGACACAATGCCTGAATAATTTCTTCAGGAAAAGCTATATTTTTCTGTTTAGCAAAGTAAAGTACACGCCACATAAAGCGAGAATCAAGAGAAATAAATCCAGAGCGGTGAAGAGCGGAAAAAATCTTACGTTTGCCTTGCCAGCCACCGGCAGCCTGTAGCAAATTCCTGGATAATATTGTTACATATGGATGCTAGCAGTTTCTTCTCTTCATCCTCATGTGTCTTGTGAAGAATGGCACTGAGCTGGAGAATGAAAGTGAAACAAGTACTTCAGCAACATTCTGTAATTTACATGGCTCCATGTCCTGGAACTTTCTTACGAAAAATAAATGTAAGGTATTGATAAGAGGTCAAAATGGGAGGCCACTATATATGGACAACTGAAAATAATCAAATTTATGGCAGAACTATAAATGTGCAAGAAGATAAAAATTTACAGAAGGATCCTTAAAGACAAGAGCATCAGAAGAAACTCATGGTTTACTTTTTATTGATAAAATTCATTTTCAGATGACTTCTAGATCTATACTTTTGGAAAGAAAACTTCAACGAATTCTTCTCTCTCCATCTGAAGCCAGTGAGAAAATTTCAACTTATTTTCACCTGAACCATAAATCAAGATGAAAAGTTGTACATTAATAAATCAAATACCCCACATTTCAGAGGCTGTATTTTCATTTTAAGGCTTCATCCATGACCATGGAGGTTCCTTCACAGAGAAGAGCAGAAAAGGATGAAATGGAACACGCGCGCACATGCATACAAAAAAAAAGGGAGACACCATACTACATTTTTTTTTTTTTTTTTTACATGAAAGGTGAGTTTCCAGGTCAGTCCATGCACAAACTTTCAACAACATAAGTTATGCCCCATACTCATTCTTGCTTTCTTTATAACTGAATACATTCAACTTCCTACATACCATAAAAAAAAATTCCAGACTCTACACAGCATAACAAAACAAGGAAACTCAAAAACTGACACGTTTATCCTGAAAATGCCAAAATCATCATGGTACACTGTTACAGATTAAACCAAGAAAAATGAGTAATACCTACCAGTCTAAGAGCAACAAATCGCACTTGAGCCACTTTGTCACTACACAGAATCATGGAAACTGGAACAATGTCACGGCAAACATCGATGCAGTGGAAGAAGTTGCATACGTGAACCAATTGTCTGAGGAAAAAGGAGAAACAGATTTTCATTAACTCTTTGTCCTGCCTCTGTGCTGAAATGTGAGTATTATCAGTGTAACTTATTGCGACGGACGTTCCCAGCGGGCGGCACTGGAAACATGTTTTGGCGTGAATACCGTGGAGGTGTATTAATTCATGATGAAAATAACGCTCTATTTTTTATAGCTTTCTATTTATACAGTGTTACAAACACATGAATAACCCCCTCTCATAAGCTGATAAGACATTACGAGTAGTTACGTCCATTCAAATAACCTATTTGTATAGACGCTCTTGTTGTGAATGATGTAAGGATCGAAAGGGAGCAATATAGGCCAATTTCCTAAAGTTTTGCTCTCAAATTGTTCTTTTTACCTGCACAATGGTATTCAAAACTATCAAATAAGCTTATTTTTATCAGGTAATATAATTTTATATACAATCAAGCTCATTTGAAATATTTCGTATAGAAAAACGGAAGTCTTGTTTCCTGGCTCTTTCGAGCTCCTCATGTATAAGTCGGTCAATTTGTTCTTATTTCATTTGACAAACATCTAGAGCTACCAACTTGGCTTGTTTTGAATGAGACGTATGCCTTGCAGACCTGCCACTCTATGAAATCTAAAAATCAGGATTTCTGAGTTAAAAAATCTCTGGTGAAAAAAATCGGGATCAACGGCAAATCAGTCATATAGGGCACTGGGGAAGGCGGGGGGTGTCCTGGTTCCCTTTTAAGAGGCAAGTATGCAAGGCAAAACTTTGACAGCATATATGTACTCGAGTCTAAGTTGGATAGACTGGGGAAGCAAAGGTCGCAGTGATGCTGAAACACTCGTAGTCTTGAAAATAACTGACACGTAACTCTAATCATCCACGCAAAACGCCCGCGTTTTAACAACGTTTGACTTCCATCACATCGAAAATAAGATCGCGCCAAGGTTGTTCATTTTTTTTCTTATTCCTTTCTCCTTAATTAGTACCTGTATCACGGCACGCACTTTAAGCCCAAGAGTCAAAACAATACCCCCTACCCCCTACCCCCAGCCGTCCACACCGGTAAGTCCCGAAAAACACCTCGACCAACGCGACCGGTGTGAATGAACTTTGTTGACCCCGACAACCGACGGTCCCCGACACACACGCTACTCACCACACGTACGAAGTCATGTCATGTGATGCGAGTGAGCCTTTGAAACTAGGTCGATTTTAGTTTAAATAACGTACGATAGCCATCTACTAGACCTAGATTCGGCATAGATGCTTTAGAAAATAGCGTTCCAAGTTCCTGCCCATAAAAAGTCCAATCGGTGCTTCCAAGCAAAAGAGATTGCAGAACTTTTTATATTTTTTTCTAAGAATCGGACGCAACAGACGCAACCACGAAAAATCAGGATACTGGCGATTGAAATCGGGAAAATCGGGATGCTTTAGATTTGGGGGAAAAAATCAGGATATCCCGATTAAATCGGGATGAGTGGCAGGTCTGGCCTTGGTTACGAACCAACACAGGCAGTTCTAGAAGTACACCACAAACGCACACAAACTCAAGCAGACTGAGGCACACACACTTGAGCTACAGAAATACAGGACCCAGTCATCACACGGATGATGCTCAGCACGCGTGCGCTGAGCCAGGGGAATGACTGAAACGGGACCAGACGGAAGGCAAAGCGCCGAAATACGCTTTCCGGGGAACATTAACCCGGCCCCCGCTGGACCAGGGTTAAAAGTAGTTGGGTTATAATTCTGAGATCTCTCTCATTTCCACAAGTACTAATGCATTCAGATGAAATTTACAAATGCTACAAAGATAAGCAATGATAAAATATAGTTCACATTTTTAAAGAAAGCTTCCCGAGTCAGGTACATCTATCTAAACAAGACATTTCCAGGCTATTCCAATGGTTTTTTTTGTTAAAAGCCAAGTATCAAATAAAAGCCAACTACCTTCAACAATATAACAAGTTCCAAACTTGCAAATATTTGCAAAACCTAGTCAGGTACACCAAAGTTATGACATCAGATTACATTACAATGAATATACCCCCCCCCCCCCCCCCCCCCCCCGGGGCAGTGCCACTGACTGTAGTATCTTTAGGCCATTCCCAAAGGGGGGACATTCCTCGTTCAAGCGTAGTAGAATTGTAAATGGGCTGATTCATGTCACGCTCATAACTGTCTGATCTACAACAGGGGACTGCTGCTTTTTCTTTCCTGATCCTTACTATTGTCATTTTCCTCTACTTCTTTTGTATGTTTGTCAACTCTCTTGTGACCTGCTATTTCCGGGGTGCCTTGATAGTCAAAACAGACCTTGTGCTGTTGAAGCTGGAGAGGTGAGCAGTCTAAGTCTGATTTCCTGTAAAGACTTATCTGTTGCCACCCATCCCTTAGCGCTCACATGACCTTATGCAGTTGCGAGCGCCGTAAAACCCTCTACTAAAAAAAAACAACAACAAAGAATATGTTTACATCAGACAGGACTGGTTTTGGGTGTAGAGTATGTGACAAGGCTTTCAAATTCCCAAATGTCAAATCCAAGAAAATCGACAGTTGGCAAACCTGAAGCTTTGTTGTCTACATAGCATATACAAGGAGTCATAGATTCAATAAGTATGGTTAAACTTACTCTGCTAGTTCCTCTCTAAAGCGCCAGTTTCTCGTGTTGTCCGTTTTCATGAAGTCTTGCACACGTGTCAGGTACTGGAGACGTACTTCAGGCCTCAAGAGCTGAACATTTTAGAGAGAAATTCAAAGAGAAGCATATAGATCTAGACACAATAATGGTCATTAAGTGCTGGAAAAAAGACAAAGGGAAAATAAAGTAGGACCTCCCAGTGGCGCCCTCCACCCATCCACAAATTATTACACTAAGATGTCAGAGGAAACACGCAAGCAGTACCTAGAGCATTCTAAATAAGATTTGGGGGCAAAACAATATCTCTACACAACATCAAATCCTAAATCATCAGTATGAAAACAGAGCATCACGCTGCACATCAAAATTAGCGTTCAAGACGAGTAAATGTTTTACGACACTACCAGCAGTTTTGGTCAAGCAAGCGCCGAAATAAAATAAGGCTAAGGAAAAATTAATAATGTTATGAATCTCTATCCTTGACAAGTGAGTAAAAAAAGAAGTGCAAGATACACGAACTCACCCTGAAGATGTCTGCCAAATGCTTGAGGACCCCTATCCTGACTTCATCCAAGTCTTTCAAGAAACCATCAAACACAGGTACCAAATCCTTGTGGGTAATCTCATCTCCCACAATCATAGCCAGTTGGTGCATAGAGAAAGCAAGTGTTCGGCGTACTTTCCACTGCAAAATTTTAAAAAGCAAGTATAGGTAAAATAAAGATGAAATACAATGCAAAATTTGTCAAAGTCATAACAAACTTTAAATAGATACCAGAATTCACAATACACAAAAGCATTCCTCACCACAAAATAAAAACCACGAGACTTGTTTTAGTTTTAGTAGAGGTATTACGGTGCTCGAAATTGCATAAGGTCATATGAGCACCAGAACAATTGGAGGTGTTACAAGAGAGTAACAAACAAAAAAAGAAGAAGGGGAGATAAGGACAATAGATGTTTGACAGGAAAGAAGAAGCAAACCGCACCAGAGCACCCACCAACCACCCACACAAGACTTATGGCATCACAACATTCGTGATACATTTTGGTTTATTGGTTTCTGGAAAACGTAACACTAGCCACAGGAATGCTGCAACTGGCATTTAAGAGGATGCTGGTGCATTGGCACATAGATTTCTTTGGGGGGGGAGAGAACCACACACACACCAAACGCATTCTGTACTGCATGGCAGAAGCAATGATTTGTTTAAAACACCAATTAACTAGCTGGAAACTGCTATGAAACCGTTTCCTAAATAAGCTTTGACCAACCTGCATATCCTGCGCCAGTGTCTCATACAAGTTCTTGATGCAGTGCCAATTTTGTCTGCCCAAGGTATAGGCCACTGCTGGCAAATTGTAGGCACAATGTCTGGTAATTTCTCCATCAACTGTCTGGGCTCGTGAAGGGTCCACCATGCCTAAATAGTTCTCAAGTAGCAGCTGAGGTACAATATTCTGAAGGAAGTGGGCGAGATAACATCATGTACTTTGAGAAAATAAAGTGCACTCAGGATCCTAAAGAACTATCTTTAAAAGTGAAATAAAACAATGGAGCAAAACAATCTAGTAGTATAATATGGGGTTTTATGGCGCTCACAACTGCATACGGTCATATGAGAGCACGAAACACAAGTTAGTTCCATTCGCAAGTTTACTGTACGGCTGGGCTCGGGGTCAGTAGTTAAGATTTTACATACAATGTTAAAATATTTATAATTCGGTGTAAATATATTTCCAATCTAACACAACTTTCCTAAATAACAAAAACTTTTAATAATTCAATTTCACTCTATAATTTTCCATAAAGGCCAAGGGCCTTAATAAAATCTAAAATTCTGTTGGGAACGATGGAAAAAATATCTTGCAATTTTTTGTATTTAAAACATTTCCTTACGGTCTCTCTGAAGTCAAGACATTCGTTTAAAATGTGTATAATTTCCAATGGCTCTCCCACAGACTAGAGCAAAACAATCTGCTGTTCAAAAAAGAACTTTTAGTAGTTTTACGGCAATTGCAACATTATACGGTCATATAAGTGCCGAAGAATAGATGTGTTACAAGAGAGTAAAAGGGAGAGATAATTTAGTTTTAGTAAGTTTTACGGCACTTGCAACACAATAAGGTCATCATATAAGTGTTGAAGAATAGTTTGTGTTACAAGAGAGTAACACACTACACAAAAAAGATGGGGAGATTTAGGTACTTTTCCAAAAGGCCCAGTGTCCATGAGGATAAAACGGGCTTTCCAGGAGAACAAAAGCACTCATTGACATTAAACTGGTCTCAGTGTTCAGTATAAGGAAGAAAATTCTAGATATCTCCATCCTCATTAATCATTTATGAGATCAGCCCTGCCTGTCAAGGTCAATCATGGCTGAGAGAGTTACAATATATGCAAGCAGAAGATCAGAACTACTCTAAAATTCTCCACACATAAGAATCAAACCCACATCATCTACATGATAAAACTGACCCACCAACCCACTACACCCCAAACACCAGTGGAAAGGGAAGAAGGCTCACAAATATCACAGTTACAGGATAAAATTTGGCGAAACTATGGGACAGAGAGCAGAGCTAAACACGATGATGCTCACCTGTTGTTGAGCCAATGTGGCATCGTCCTGGACAAATTCCAGACTCAAAGGCATGTCTTCTGGAAACCCTAAGCCCAAACCGCTCATATCTGGAAAAAAAAACACCCCACACCAACATGGTAAAGAATAAAACAAAAACAAAGGAAAAAAAATCATGTGAGAAGATCATCATCCAAGGTAGATGTATTCACTTTTCGTAGGGTTTCTATATGCAAGTGAGAAAAGGATAGAAAAAGACATAAAATTAATGACTACTTTTTTTTCTTTGACTGCCAACTTCCTATTTTTCCAGCTCTTTCGATTTGCAACAAATTGAAACAGCTGGTGTGTATGTGTGTGTTTCTTTTCTTTTTTAGTAAAGGTTTTACGGCGCTCGCAACTGCATAGGGTCATATGAGCGCCAGAAGATTAGAGGTGTTACAAGAGAGTGACAAACATAAAAAAGAAGGGGAGATAAGGATGATAGATGTTTGATAGGAAAGAAGAAGCGAGCCACACCAGAGCACCCGCCAACCACCCACTGTGTGTGTGTGTGTAACGAAATTTTTAAAAATTCTGGCATGCAGACAGAACAACAATTGGACTATTTCAGTGATTGATTGATTAAGGTCTTTTACGGCAATAACTCAGTTTTGGTCATTCAAGTGCACAAATTCAGTGTGGTACATAATCTGAACAGAAAATTAAGCCATCTACAACACCACGGCCACAGAAAACACCTAAACTAAGACCATAACATTTATCTTCCATAGAATTAATTAAAACTATTGCATATTTTTAAAAATTGTTACTATTACAATCATTGAATGTTTTAATTGAAAGTGTTTTATGGCACTTACAACACAGGTCACTGTTAGTGCAGAAGACCAGGTGTTGCATGAGAGTAACAAGCAACAACAAACCATGAGGAGAGCAGAACAATAGATGTTTGAAAGGAGGAAATAAAGAGGAAACCATACTAGAGCATCCATCAACCATCTGCTATTAAAGTCTATCATCTAGGACACTGTTCCTTTACAAAATGTTTGACTGTTCCTTTATGACATACAGGTGAGCTTAATATAAAAAGTCTCCTGCAAAGGATCTGGGTTTAGATAGCATCCTTACCTTGGACAACTCCGTCCACGATAGCCAGATGTTGCTGTCCTAGATGCTGCCCCAACACGTGCGTGCTCCCAATGTGGGACACCATCTCATCCGGAGCATCACTCACGGTGCTCACACTGGCCGTGTGGATACGAACCCCAGACTTTTCCACTTCTGACTGAACAAGTGATAAGGCAGATGAAGAGGAGGACGAAGATGACATTGAGTCACCCAGGGCAAACCCAGACAGGGAATCCGTGAAAGAGTTTGAATGGGACCTGGCACCACCACTGGAAATGTTCACATTCATCTCTGAAGCGTACACCTTTTTGGTATCCTCGTCTTTGACTTTTGCCACCACATGAATATTGGTGGGCTGCCCATTGATGATGTCAAAGTCAATGTTGACCTCTGGCAGAGGAGACCTCCAATACTGGAAAGTATTGAAGTTATTGTCCAGGTGAACGTGGACTTTGCCTGAGGCTGATGGATCTTCACTGTTGCCCTCGGCCGTGACAGAGGCACCCTGGCCGTCAGAAGCGTTATCCATAAACACATTGTCAGAATCTGACCCAGCTCCTTCCACCTTAGCCCCCCCAGCTGAAGGCACATTGAATTTGGTATCACTTTGACCTGAGTCACCGGCACCTGCCAGGTCGACAGGGCTCTCGTTATCACTGGAATTCTCTGGAAGCACAGAACCACCACCAGGGGCAGCCGAGGAGCCTTCTGGCAGCTCACTGCCCACCGATGTAACATTCTCTAGACTAGCAACATCTTGTCTACGAGTCTCACTCTCAATATTACTAGAACTACTGCTACTGTTTGTATCACAGACTGGAAATTGAGCAACGTCGGGGGAATCAACACTACTATCTACATTACATTGTACAGACAAGTTCTCCGCTCGCAGCTCCTCCGCTGATTTGTCTTCTATACTGAAAACAAGCCGCTCATCAGCAGCATTCAGCTCGACAGCCTTGTTTTGATCTTCATCACCTGCACTAATGCTGTCAATATCCATGTCCTCTTCTAATATCTCACTCCCCGCACTTGATCCTGGAACCTCTGGGCCAGGCTCGTCTGTAGAGGATTCTGTGGGCGTTCCCAGGGGATCTAGAGGCTTCAACTGTAACACGCCACCAAAGTCTTCTTTCACATCATCCCCATCTGACAGACTAGGCTCGCCAGGGTGGTGTTCTATCACCTCGTCGTCACCAAAACTGAGAAAAGAGCAAAAACCACATCATTCAGGTTTCGTATCTCCAAGAGCACAAAAATGTAACAAAATTTAAAACACAATCATAAAGTGTAAATGAACATCCTTTTTCGAATTTTGACTTGAATGTAATGAGAAACACTGAACGGGATTTTGGGGGGGATCTTACTTGAACTAGAACATCAAACAACATACGTGATACTACTAGGCAACACAATCACACAAAGAAAGAAAAGAAATGGAAAAACGTCACCAAACGGGGACCCCCCCCCCCCCAAAGCGGGACCAGATGGTGTACAGTGTCTCCCCATGAAAATAAAAGGCCTATTGCTTTCTTTCAGCTGAACTTACATAGATTCTATATCATAGAATATGAGACAGCCAAGTAACAATTGAACCTGTCTTTGTAAGTAAGAATATGAATGGAGATAGATCAAGCTTTGGTACTTTAAAAGTACCATTCCAAACTGGTTGATGTAACTTTTATAAAATTGTAACTTGGTGATTCGTACAGAATAAAATAAAACCTCCCTATAACTTCAGAATGGAACAGATAAAATAGGGGCTCGGACAGCTATATGATGTGAAAAGCAAAAAGATTCCAATTTTGTAGAAGTCCGAAATGGTCAGGTCTAGCACAAAATTAAACTACTTTTTAAGTCTTAGAGGCGCCTATAAATATGATCATTTCGTTACTGTACATCTTTCTGGGGCACTGTACTCTTTGCAGATATATTCAAAGGAAAAGAGAACAGAAAACAAATTTCTTCATTTGTGGAATATGGCTACGATAAAGTTGGAGGAAAATTAGCTGGGAACTTTCTTTTTGTCATTAATTTATGATAACTTTTAATAATTATTTCATGGACACTGAATTTGCCTAAAATTTGAGAAAGCTTTTACTACTAAGCTGATGTGATGTAAGAGCCATTAGATATGACTGAAATGTGTTTAAAATTTTGACAACCAATGTTTGCTTCCTGGACAATAATTTTCTGAAATTACACCTGTGCAACTTCATTACTTTGCTGCTGTTGTCTCACTTTGAATTTGTCTACCTCTACATACTGTCTTATTCATCTTGTATTAAGCCTGGAAGTGCAATAAGAGGACAATTTCAGGTATCTTGATTCCAGGGATTTTTATCCAGACAATCACTTCATCAGGTATCAAAATCACCAGGAATCATACTGAGCATGAGATTATTTTTTCCAAGACTTTTCAAGACCAGATTACTTTTTCCCAAGACAATGTGTCATTTTGGAAGAAAATTTTTCGTTCAGCATGCAAAAATACAATATGGTACAGTTCAGAATGCGTAATGTCAAGGCCTTCTAAACTTCGAGGAAATATTTTTACTATAGACCCATTTAAAACTGTTTTTCCAAGACTTGCCATTTTTCCAAAATTCCAACAGTTTTCAATGTCTTGGAAAATAATAAAAACAAAATTCCAAGAGCCTTCCAGTTTTCCAAGACCCGTACGAACCCTGAATCAAATGCTGAGCAGCGGGCACTGCCTTCATAAATAAATACTTAATCTTAGGATAGCAATTTAAAATACTGCCCCAATATCAAATCAAAACATTTCAGAACATTTTCCATTGTCACTAACATGAACAAAACTCCAAGAAAATCCAGAGCATGATTTTCGAAAAGGAAGAAAACTTAATGGTCATGAATTTGACAATTATTTTGAAAACAAAAATTTAAACCAAATATGCAAATGACATCACTCAAACACAAGCTACATACCTTTCTAAGCTTTTAAAGCTCAAATTTCCATCCTCATTCACACACATGCCTGTTCTCTCAACATCGGCAAAAGTTGATATAAAAGGACCGAGTTGTTGAAAGGCTGACATCCGCACCTGAAAAATAAAATAGAGACTCCCTAAAAAAAACACCCAAAAAAGCCTCACAATTTACTCATAAAGAATGGATTGAAATAAAAACATGTAAGACCCCTTCACTTTAGTAAAATGAATTGTTAAGCTTTATTCCAATAATCCAAAACATTCATCAGTTGTGATAGGGGGCTCACGTGGCCTAGATGTTAAGGTGTTGGCCTCTCAAATAACATACACGATGCATGTAATCAGGCTTGCCAGCTTTTTCAAAACCCAACGATACAACTTCAGATTACGTCAACAACAAACAGAATAACATTCAGTGAGGCATGTTTCTGGGTGGTGGGAGTGATAAGGTACTCAAATTCAAGTAGCTGAATCCGGGAGTTCCCGGAAATTCGGGAAAATTGGCGAGCCTGCGTATTAGATACTTTTTGAGTATGATACTTTTTTGATTGATTGATTGGGTAGATGTTTTGCGGCACCATCGGCACAATTTTGGTCATTTAAGCGCCAGCAGGTTTCACCGTTACAAAATCAGACGTGTTTTTGGTAAGAGTCTTTCGGAGCTCACAACCGCACACGATCACACTATTTTCATTATGCTAAAAAGACTAACATTGACAAAAAATTTTTGTAAATATGGAAAAGGCTTATTTACATTTGTATATACAATATTAATTTCAGTGTATGTATATATACACTGATAACTATAACTATATATTTTCATATTCTATTAAATAGTCCTATTTCTTTTACATAACTGTAAATTTTTCTGGGGTCTACAATGTCAAAAAAGGTTCTTAATATCTTTACATTTTAAAAATTTCTTACAAACATTAAATTCGACACATTCCATTAGGATGTACTGAACTGTGAAATTTGCGTTGCACGCCGCGCAAAAAGGAGCTTCCTCTCCTTCGAGCAATTTATGTTTGTGCGTGACGTGCGTGTGGCCTATCTTTAATCTGGTAAAAATAACTTTTTCTCTTCGTAGGAGAGATAGTGGTTTCCTTGGCGCAAGTTTCGGTTGAATGTAATGGAGTTTGTTGTGTATTTGTTGATTCCAAATTTGGGATTTCGGTTTCATGTCAGAAAAGGGATTTTACTATTTTTGTTTTCAGGTAGTTTTAGAGATTCTTTGGCAAATTGGTCAACGGCTTCATTGCCATCAATGCCTACATGGCTTGGAAGCCAAGCTATTGTAATAGTTTTTCCAGACTGATGCAGAAAATGCAGTTTAATTTATAAGTTTTAAAATTTTGTTGTCGCAGGTGTCAGAGCGCTCTAAAGATTTCAGACAAGAGAGAGTAAAGGGATTAGGAAAGCAGACTTGGTTGATTGATCTGTTATATTTAGGGCCATTTCAAGAGCTGTAGCCTCAGTTGTGTAGACTGAGGCTTCTGGGTGGAGTTTCCTTAAGCTTAAGCTGTGTGGCGATGCAAGGGCAGCAGCTCCTACTGAGGAGTCATTTTTGGATCCGTCTGTAAAGAGTTACTGCTTCAGGGTATCTATTTATTAGCTGTTTGTATGAGTTTAAGTATGTATTTTTGTCTGTAGACTTTTTGTGTTTTTCAAGACTAGCATCTATCTTTGGTTTGGTTAAATGCCATGGAAGTATGCTGGACACAGCAAAGGGCTCGATTATGTCTTCAGAAAAATCAATGTCTTTGAGATCGTTCTGGATCAATGTCTTTGAGATCGTTCTGGATTCTTATTCCGAAAGGGCTTACTTTATTTCCTAAGGAGGATAGAGTTTTTAGATCTTTGGGAAGGCCAAAGACATATTTGTGGGCTGGGTTTTGGGGTATTGAGCTAAGTTTCAAAGCGTACTGCAAAGACAGTTTTTTCCTTCTAAGTTCTAAAGATGGTTCATGAGCTTCTGCCTGTAAACTTTCTACAGGTGAAGTACGGAAAGCACCTAGGGCAAGGGGAACGCCTGGTTCTGAACAGGGTCTAAAATATTACGGTAAGACTTTCTAGCTGATCCGTAAACAGGACTGGCATAGTCCAGCCTGGAACGGACAAGGGAACGGTAAAGTTGAAGAAGTATTTCGGTATCTCCTCCCCATTCGGGATTGGATAATACTTTTAAGGCGTTGACAGCACTCTGACACCTCGTCTTTAGGTCTTTCAAGTGTGGCCAGGGTTGGTGATTTTAAAAAATTTTTTTTTAATGTCGACAGTTTGGGATTTTTGTTGGCTAAAAGTATGTTCTTTTACTGCAAAATGCATTGTCTTTATTTTAACTAATGATTAATTTAAGCAACTGCAAAAGAAAGCCTTAATCTGCCATATCAGCGAATTATGGCTACAGACAAAAAATGAAGAAAATGTGAGTCTAAGGGGGGGTGGGGTGGTGTAATTATGCATAGATAAACTTGCATTTTATTACAGTGTGCGCGTGTGCGCGCGCTTGTGTTTGTCTAAAAAGAAAAAGCTAATTTCAATTATGAAAAAAAAGTAAATTGAATACTGTATTATTTTAGTGACAGAGGGCAAGCAGACTTTTAAGCATGATTATATTAGTCTACTAAACCTTATATCTGTTTAATAAAACCAAGGAGAGGAATTCTGAATGTTAAATGTGTAAAAACTGAATACATTTTTTAAAAGTGATAAATCACTGATTTTTATAAAAATCAAGTTGATTTAAATCTTTAAAAAAGCAACTGATTTAAATCAACCCAACCCTGAGTGTGGCAGGAAAAAAAGTTTATTGTCGAAGATTACGCCCAGGAAACGAGCTCGTTTTTTAACCGGAATTTTCTCTCCAAACAAATATAAATCTCGTCGCACACTTGCGACAGACAAAAATGTACACGGAGGCTCTCGTGGCCTAGAGGTTAAAGTGTTGGCCTCTCATTCAAAGGCCCCGGGTTCGAATCCGGGTAGCGACCGAAAATTTTCTTCTTTAAAATTGTCTCCTTTCACCTCCTTTCCTGCTCTCTAGCAATATTCTGTCGTCTGCTTTCATCTCCTGTTTCTGCCCCCACCCCCTCACCTCCTTTGCCCCCTCCTCTGGGCTCCTGGCTCTTTCTACAGCCTTTCTACTGCTACTCATTGACTCCTTACAGCTGTCTTTCTGCCACACCCCTGATCTTCTGGTAGGAAAGATCTACACCTAGCCTTCTCGGACAAGGGTGAAAAATCTCGGAGGGCCCGTGTGCAAGTTGCGCACGTTAAATCCCTTGGTGGTCTAAAATCGATAAGAGTAGGCTTTGGCCGCCACCTGGGCAAAATTCAAAATTTCCTACCAAATAAAAGTATACGGTGTGTCCCGCACGCTCATATGACCTTATGCAGTTGCGAGCGCCATAAAACACTTACCAAGGAGGGGGAAAATTTTTTTTTTTTTAATGCACACTGTTTTTGTTGTAGAAAATTTGCTGTTTGCCCAAGTTTCCAGTTTATGGAGTTGAAGCTGAAGCTGACGTTCAATGTGATCTATTTTGGATTTGGATTTATAGCAGATCAGGAAGTCGTCAACGTAGAGTGAGCAGTCAATATTGTTTTGAAGGGTTTTTGTGATGGAATTGATTTTAATTTCGAAAAGAATGGGCAACAAGATGCTTCCCTGGGGGACGCCTTCTTCTTGGGTGTGTAAATTTGATATGGTTGAACCTACTTTTACTTGGAATGATCGATCTTTCAAAAAGTTTCGTATAAATTCGGGAAAATTTCCGTGTAAGCCCAAGTCACGCAGGTCTTTTAAAATACCATGTTTCCATGTGGTGTCGAAGGCTTTTTCTAAGTCGAAAAAAATAGCCACAAGGTGCTCTTTCTTAATGAAACTTTCAAGTCGGACGAGATGGTCAATAATAGAGCGATTTTTTCAGAAACCTGAGTAGGATACAACTGAGAGCCCACTAAGACACTCAACATTCTTAAAATGAGGGAAAAAAATGTTCAAAAACAAAACAACTTACCCATCGAGACTGGTCACAAAGGAGGTTGACAAACAAATTTGCAAGCTTGTTCCTTCTGACCTCCAGTGAACAAGCACATGACACAGTCATGAAACATTCTGCACATGCTTTTCGGACACCCCAGACTCCATCTTCACACAAGTAGTAGAATTTCGGAAGCTGAAAATGACATGGCAATACACTCCTTAAAACAACAGACTTGTGTAGTGCACAGTGATCACTCGAAATTAGAAAGCAACAAAACATTCACTGAAATAAAGCAACGAGTTCACCTTTATGTAGTAGTAGTGCATAGTTTTACTGCGCTCGCAACTGCATACGGTCATATGAGTGCGCGAAACACAAGTTGTTTACTTTCGCAAAAGTTCACTGCACGATTGGTTAACTATTAGACTTTAAAATGCTAAAATATTAAAATTCGGTGTAAATATATTTTCAATTTAAAACAACTCTTATAAATAACAATAAAAATTTTTAATAGTACGATTTCACAATGGCCTTCATAAAATTCAATATTCTGCTGGGAACAACGACGGAAAAAATGTCTTGCAATTTCTTGCATTTATAATATTTCCTTCGGATCTCTCCAAAGTCTAGACATTCGGTTAAGATGTATCTAACTCTAACTGTCGCATCCGACACAGAACGGCTTCTCATCTCCTTGTAGGAGGCATTTGTGGTCAGGGCTGTGTGTCCGATGCGCAATCGAGTAAAAATGACTTCGTCTCTTCTGGAGAGGTCCAAAGGATTTCGCTGTTCTAGTTTGGGTTTTATAACATAGTTTATTGTTATTCTGTTTTTCCCAGTGGCTCTCCCACAGACTGGAGGTGTACTTTTTGACTTTATTTCTAAAGTCAGAGAGTGTTTGTCGTTGATCCCAGCAGAAGGGATGAAGCTTTCTTCGCCAGGTCGTCTACCTGCTCGTTTCCTCGGATGCCCACATGGCTAGGTATCCATGCGAATATGATGTTTTTTCCTGTCTCTGATAGTGTGTGAATTTTCTGTTGTAGCCTAACTATTTTTGGGTGTAAGAGTATGTAGTTTGTGAGTCAGGTGATGCAAGACAGAGAGTCAGAAAGGATTAGGAAAGATTTGTTTGGAGAATTTTCTACGGAGTCCAGTGCCATGTCAATGGCAGTGGCCTCCGCAGAGAAAATGGAGGCTTCAGGATGGAGTCTCCTCTGGTGTATACTGTTGGGAGATAGGGCTGTGGCGCCCACTTCATTGTCTTTTTTGGAGCCATCCGTTCACCTTTATGGTACTTTGTAATGGAAGTTAAACTTATCTTCAAAAGAATTTCTTGCCAATAGAAAGCTGCTATTTATGGAGCCATTTGACAAAGATATTCGACCAAATTATATCAGTGTCCTGAATATTCCCCCTGTGAAATGCAAGTATTGGTCCAACTGACAAATTTGGGGGGTAGGGTGTGTATGTCATCTTACGCATTTAAGGGAATCCGCGGGTCTCGATCACCTCGAAAATCGGGTATTTGCTTTTTTATTTTTAAATGGAACTTCGAGTATTTGGATATTCTTACAGAAAAATATGTCAAGAATCCGTTTGTGAAGGTCCCAAAACCTAAAGATACCTGTAATATATATAGAAATGTATTTGAAAGCGGTAGGGGGGGCAAAAAAATTCGAACAAAACGTCAAGAAATGCTAAACTTTACCCCTTGACAACAACACTTTCCGTGGCTGCAAGGTAATCAAGTTTGGTATCGTTGGAAAGGCCGTGATAAGAACTATTCGATTATTGCACTTTCATTTTCGTACGGAACTACTCTGGGGACCCATTTAGGTATGTTTGAAGACCGTACCAAATACCGGTTGGCCACTTCCGTCACGTGACCGGACCGTGAATTTTCATTCGCCGAGCCGGTAGCATCGAAGGGGATTCCCCTAGCGGGCCATTGTTTACACTGCGTGCCGCAATACAGAACGTGAACGTTTTCGCTGCATTTCAAAGAGTTTTCTATTGTGTTGCCGATTTCAACGCTAATAAATTTTGTTTACAGGCTGAATGATTATTGTTATCTCCATTTACAATTTTGTGTAGTATTACGGCCCGACAAGGCCTACCGAACACATGCTCCTTCTTATTCGCCTTCTCTCGTCTGTTTATCTGATCGTGATTCGATTCGATGTCTTAGTCTTAGTCGTTTTGGGTGAGCTAATCCAGGATCTAAACTGTTGAGATTATACATATAATACATAATAGCCTTCAGTACTTTCCATGATTATGTGGCTGGGGTATTCAAAGTATAGATCTACAGATCTACGTTGCGCTCGATCGACAAAGTTATAGAATTAGAGATAAATTTGTTTTGATGGCTTCCCTAGCCTCTCCGGTTGTTCGCAGTGAACAAGTCTGTTTAGCGTAGATCCAGCAATAGAAATCTCTAAGGCCTGGTGTTATTTAAAACAATTTTTTAACTTTATTATTGGGTTTTTAAAAATCGGAGACCAGTGTTCCCAAAGCCGGTTAACCTCTTCAAGCAAGATTGAAAGAAGCAACTGCAGAAATATATAGATAGGATAAAATAAATTGAGAAAATATACAGATCTAGATAGTATCATGTAGTGCCAGCTTACAGTGTGCCTTTCTTGGTTGCAGTCCTCTTAGATTCCACCATTGCAAAACCAAAACACATGGGAAGAAAATGAAGGGGAGGTAGCAGCTTTGGGGGGGGGGGGGGCTCGACAAAGTCTCGACTCTTCTAATTCTAAGAAAGGCAGTCACCATTTAAAGATTTCTTAATGTGGAAAAGACTAACAACAAACTCAATTTACCTAAACAATTCAGTATGGCAACATTAACATATAAATTTAGACGGGCATGTCAGAATGCAAAATCTTTATTCGCGTTTTTCTCGGAATGGCTTTTCTGCCAAATCTGCTGCACTATTTTGATTAGATCTCAGAAAGTTACAGTCAGAGTAGGTTGGAATTTTCACACAAGCCCTTGAATGTCCTATTACCTTACATAGATATTTTAGCTTCTTCTCCCATTTAAGAACAGAAACTGAAAGATAAATGAGAGTTTACATTCTTGGGGCGCAGACTCAATTGTGAGAGGACAGGGGGGGGGGGGGAAATTGATGTAAAAACTTGTCAAAAAAAGCTTTTTAAATAGCATGTGCTGTGTAAACGTGGTGTATGTTGCTGAATAATGTTGGATTTTAGTGAAACCGAGATGGTTGTGATTGCACAATGTTTCGAAAACTTTTGTGTTTTTCTCAAAAATTGCATTTTCAGCTAACTGGTAACTTTATAGAAAGTTTATCTCAATAACTAACAGTCAGATTTCATTGAAATTTTCACACATCATTCCCAAGATAAGTGCCTTCCTCCTTACAAAAGCACTTTTCCTGAATATTAATTCTGTTTTGAGTTATTTGGCATTTTTGCTTTTCAGCATCTCCTAATATTGAATTCTGAACATTGGTCAAAGTGAGGGTAAAATTTGGAAAATGTATGATAGATATTTGAAATCTAATTGTGTAAGGAGGAAAAGCAAGCAATATATAACATATATACCAAGTATGAAGCTTCTATCTTTATTGGTTTTGTAGAAACACTATAAAAATACAGAAATTTTGCTGATCAGCGCCATTTTTTCCCCGCCAGAAGAACAAAAAAATTAATTTCTTTCACAAAACCTCTTTTTTAAGGTGTATGTATCCATTGATGCATACAAAGTGGCTACAAAATGGTTGGAACTGAGTTTTGGCATTTTCATTAGCCACCTCCCCTTAAAGTTTTAAAAATTACGTAACACTCACACCTTTAAACATGGAAAATGAATGCAAATGCACATGGCATGAAACTAGTTCCAACTAATCTTGAGCAATACACCCAAATATGGTCGCCATCCACTTACCAAGTACTCTTCACAATTTCTAGCACCCACAACACTAGCAACTTCTCCAAAGTTGGCTGCACACACCTGAAAACAAATTTAAAGAAAAAATAGATTTCCTCGGTCACTTGAGACATAAAGGAACAATCAAATAATAAAAATTGCACTAAAAGCCATTTTGTAATTCAACATGCAAACGGTGGTGGTGGACCCTTTATTTGAACAAGGTCATGCTTCCATTCAAACTGAATACTGCAACACTCAATATAAATCATGTAACCTTTTCGCCAATTTTAGGGGTCAAAAACTAATTATTCCCCAAGAATTTTTTATTCCTCAATATGAAAATGTATAAAAGTAAACATGATTTTAAAAACTCAGAAGACATTCAGCAGATGTTACAACAATAGCTTAGATGGTTTTTAATTAACAGCTTGACTTGATCTCTAGATTCTAGTCTAGATTCTAGATCTAAATAACTGGACAGCTTATATTCAACTTAAATCTACAATAATACTTACAAATAAACAAGTCTGGTAAAAAAAAAAATCAAGCTCTCTTTAGAGTTTTCTTGGAAGGCCCAAGATCTATTGAACCACAATCGTCATTTCTTCCTCTTGTTTACAGAGCTGGTGCTGTGCTTCTTGTGCTTTAGAAAGTGAAAGAAGACACTGTCTACACTTTCAAATAAAAGAGCACTTCCGGTATGGGTTGGCTATTGTTGACTTTTGGTAATAATGGAAAATTTTTATTTCGCATTTTAAATATTTTTTAAAATATTTTTGGGGGGGGGGGGGGGGCGCCACGAATTTTCACGGAAATTTTTCCATTTGCGGAAATCTAGTAATTTGCGGAAATCCGCAAAATTGTGGAAGACTGGAAGCCCTGAATTAAATTGTGCGTTAGCCCCTGGTGTTGTGGGCGAGCCGTCATAATCCAATCACTTGTCGTTGTTAGGTAGTCCCTCCAACCGATCATGTTGCGTAAGCCCCTCCCACTGTTGACCAATTCACCAATTTTCAGCTGCTGGTGAGGTAACCATGTGATTCCTCATAACCCATAAGCCCCACCCTGAACTCACACAAATCGTACGTGAGACGAGTGGTCACTGTTTACCCAATCTGTAACAAAGTAACAATGGACGTCAAAATGAAATTGCGACAGAAGCGTCGCTCGTTCTCTGAAAAGTGTGTTTGTTTTAACATGGCACTCTGTCTTCCTCGTCTGATACATTTAGTTTTATTGTCACTCTTGTGCAAAATCAGCAACAAAATAAAAAAAATACAAACCAACAACAACGCAGCTACTTTCGATTGGGACCTCAGAATGATTTGTTTTCTTCATCTTGATCAGTCCTGGTTAAGACGGCCACCTGTCTTATACGGCCACTTTTCTCCTTGACAATGGGTGGCCGTCTTACACAGATTTGACTGTAGGCCTACTTCTCTAAAAATTTGATGCAAGCTTTGTAGCACCATTTTGCTGGCCACCACCTTTCAATGTCCTGTTTCCCTGGGGGTCAATGGAATCACAAATCCCCAAGACTTGCTTGGTGGCATCTGCATTTCAGTTTAAGATTAAACTTTTTCAGAAACCGTGTATTTTGCATACGACTTGTAGGTACTAAAAAATATCATCGATCATTATACTTAAGACTTGATTACTTTTATCTATGGGGCTTACTGCAAGCGCAATTACTTGAGGTCAGCATATAACTCAGAAATAATTAAATGAAACAACTAGATCTGGCCATTTCTGGGTCACTATTCCGTTCCAAAAAAATTCTGGGGTTGTCTCAGTATTTTGCCTATCCCAGTTGATATCTTCCGTTACATTTTTTAAAATCTCATCAAATATGCAACAAATCTTGTACACTTCCATCTGTCCGCGTTAACATGGATTAAGAACAATTCGCTTTACATTATGTTTACATGACCCGCAATCTGGAAGCCCATTGATTAAAGCCACTGAAAATCTTATATGATTTCTTTGACTTTAACGGTTTAAAATGGGAAAGAAAAAAAATGTTACTGCATAACGTAAACAAAAAAGTTGACCTGTTTTATTAACATTTTTTAAAAACGAGGAACCTATGAAACAAATTTTGGATTGGAATACACAGGGTAAGAAAACAAGGGGAAAACCGCGCGGAACCTGGAGAAGAATCCCACTAACCGATGTATAGAAAAATGGGAAGACATGGAATAACATCAAGAGGCTAGCCCAGGATAGAAAAAAGGTGGAAAGTGTTTGTCCGTGGCCTATACCCTGGTGCAGGATGAGAAAGGCAATGACGATGCAAGACCCACATGGTAACATCAAGATAGTCTAGGGGATAGCGATGCGATTACACTGAAATGTGGGGACATGGTGGTGTCGCTGTCTCAAACTGAGCATTTTGAAGATTATGATACTGCAAATCATTTATTTGTAGTGATTCAGACTTTGCAGTCAACTGGTCGCATTTTATATAGGGCCTAAAATTAATGAGTAAGCTTTCAAATTGCTGGATCAAAACAAGTCTACCCACAACCATTCCATTGATGTGTGACATGAGGCATCCAAGAGACATCACTCGTCTTGTGACAAAGAAACCAGTATTTTCCGGATTGAATATTTATCGAATGTTTTTTCTTTTCAATAAAAACATTGTCTATTTAAAAATACATTAAAATTAAATTTAAGTGGATTCTACAGAAAAAAGACGGAAGGCACCAATAAGGGAAAAGTTTTCAGTTTCCAATGACTAGCGATGGAGGTAACTAAACTGGCAGCAATTTTCTAGCTAATTTTGCGCAAAAAAATTCTTTCAGATTAGGTTTGATCTGTAATTGCACATGAAAAGCTGCAGTGCTGAATTATCAGTAAACAGCGCTGCCCAGCCACCAGCATGTTTTAGTAATCCACAAATAAATTAGTAACCAGGTGTAAGAATTTGGAATATGGCCATGAATCGCCTTCCCTGGGGTGTCAAGGACAGGACTTGTTGCAAGTATAAAAGTAACGCAAACAAAGCCATGATGAAAAAAGGGGTCTTCACAGGCTCGTCCCGGATGGTAGGTTAAGAAAAAAAAAGGGGCAAAAAAGGGGGCTCTATTGTATTAAGTTTCAAACAATGATCCATTGGGGCATACTTCCCACCTTTTCTTTTTGCTTTTCTTACAAACAATATTAAATTTATAACTGACCTCTTTCTCAGGTTTACATTAGTTTTTCCCTTAATCTTTCAAACACCGTAAATGCACGGGCACAGCCAGTAATGGTAAACAACTATCGTGTACACACAGAAGGCCTAGATCCACGCACGCCATCAGCCAGCTTTTCATCACTTCGATATTTTCTCTAAAAGCTTAACTCATCTTTGCTTACTTTCCTTAAGCAATTGTCCTTAAGCAATTGCACGTAGTAAAAATCCATGGTGGGTATTTTTGTAATGAAGTCACTGCCATTCCAACTGGAACCTGTTTTTCGATGTAACATCTACAAAAATCAACTAGCTACATGGAGGCCGCCATTTTCCCCCCTCCAAATGTATACACATTTTTGTACGCCAGATAGGATACGACCTTAACAGCATAGCCCTGATTGACTAAAAAGGTCTAATATAGACCTACATACGGCAATATTATTCTATGACAATATTTTCAGACATTCTAAACATTTTACTACATTTGTAAATCGAGGGCCCCTCAGTAAACTGGTTAAGTCGTGTTTCTCAAATTTTACAGGAGAGGCAAACAAAAAAAAACAGATTTTCTTGAAGCGTTTTGGGTGGATAAACATTTTCAAAAGGGAGTCTAATGTCTGTCATGGCATTTGTAGGCTCCCTTATGAAAATAAACTTTATCCATCCAAAAAGACGCTTCAAGAAAATCTGTTTTTTGCCTTAGCCTGCAAAAGTGCTATGCCAAATTTCATGGGCATTGGTAATTTAATAAAAATGACATCGAATTTTTTTTCACGCTGACAAAGAGTGAACAAGCCCTACAAAGTAAACAGGACACAGCCCATACCAGGACTGACCATAAACAGGTATGGTTTGAAAGTAGTGTGATCACCAGTGTCATCCATTTTTTTTTCTTGGAATTGAACAAAGGAAAAGGGGATTCAGACACAACAGACAACAATAACATCCATTCAACAACGAAACAGTCCACAAAATGTAAAGCACAAGTGACCAACCTTTCGAACATGAAACAATGGATCAGTGCACATCTCACTGAACCTAGGTAAGAATAATCTTTCAGTGATGTCTTTCCCCAGCAATGGAGCCATTTTACTCATTAGCTGAAAAATATAAAATCAAGAAAAAAATAACTTTCACCTGTTGAGAACTACAGATTGTCACAACATTCGAGCTTTAAATTTTCTAGTGAAATCCGATCAGAAAATCATAATAGGAAAAACCTTTTAAAAATCTAAATTGACAAAAAGAATAGCCACAAATTAAAAGGCTTGGCCAGAACAGACAAAAGAAACATTACAAAGTGTTTATTGTTAAGGGCAGTAAGCTGAGAAAAATGACATTGCATGACAATGTCCTCACTTCAAAATAGAGATGTGCATGAACTTCCCAAAAATACACCAAAACACAAAAGTAACAAAAAAAACAAGGTGTTGAAACCACCAACGAGAACTTGAATTACAACAAATTACCACCAATATCAAAACTTGGCATTTCAACTCAAATAACCAAATGCCATGACAAATCTAAAAAAGCGAACAAAAATAAATGGATTATCGTAAGCAAGCAAGCATAACCTATTTCACTTCCACACAATACAAAAACTTCATGGATCAGAAAATTGGTCAACTTCAATTACTCCGTGAAAACAACCACTCCTCAGTATGTCATTGTGGACTAAAAAAAATGTTCACCCTAGAAACCAGAGGCGTCAGTCTGACAAGCCATTAGTATCAAACACTGCACGGTTTTCCATGGACATACCCAGTTAAGACACAAACAACAAAACAGGTGAAAAGCCAACAAGACAAAATTTACACACAAAATCAAGGAGTCCCCCAAATCTAAAAGTAGTAGGAAAAAAAGCTTTTGTAAAAACTTGGAAGTCTTGAGAATACTTTCTGACGAACCAAAATGAAGGACTTCCGTAACGAGCGACCACTATGAAATAGTAGAATAGAGGGCTAGATCTAGGGGTATGGTTAGGGTAACAAGTCTCTTCTTTATCGTGTTTGTTGGGGTGGTCGCTCATTATTAAAGTCCTTCCCACCGAAGAGACGATGTGCAGAACCAAAAACGACAAACCGGCATAAATCTAGGTAATTATGAATTTCAGGGCATCAAATTTCTTCAAACAAAAAATAACATTTTACAAGGCCAACATCAAATGTCTCCTTATCCAGCTCACAAAACAAAGCTAAATTCTTCCATATTTCAACTTCCACCTTCACTCGGTATGAAACCATTCCATTTACGAAAACAGTACTTCCAGTTTTAGAAATGCAGGAAAATAATGTAACAGCTCTTGTACACGACCGATCAGTGTCTGCAGCTTATAGGTATCCCTGTCATCAAAGCTGGCTGTGATATGCTCATGGTGTCACCACATCACAACCGCCTTGACGTCAGGGTAGCCTGAGTGTTGACCGTGTCAATTCAGGCTCAGATCCAATGGTTATTCCATTCCAACACACCACACGTACTCTCACCCGTTGCACCTCTCGTGACTGACAGCAAAGTACACGTGAAAAAATTTTGATACAAGCAGGTCAGTTGCAAATGTTATTCCACTTTGAAGTTGATACACCCATAGTCAAGCTCATCAAAGCTGACTGTGATATGATTGTTGAAACACATCACAATCACTTTGATGCCTTGACAAATTGGTTATTCAGCAGCTTTATGAACTGGTCTTCATAAAGTTCCCGATGAAGGCTTCTTACAGCAGCACAAGCTGATGAATGACAAAAACCACTACCCAACATTACCAAATCACTATTTTCAAGTCATTTGGACAGCATTGATTTAAACTAGTGCCTCTACAACAACCTGAAGAATTCTGCGCTTATCCAAACTTGAAGCTCATCAAAGCTGGCTGTGATATGACTTGTTCCAGCAAATCACAGTCACTCTGACGTGCCACAAAGATGAAACTTAATCCAAACAGAAGACACAATACCACACACAGAAAAACTTTTGATCCATAATTTAATACAAAAACAAACAAAAAACTGAAAAACAAACAGTCCCAGAACAAATCTATCCGGAATTCTAAACTGACTCCTGTAACTGCTCACATCTAAGGACTCTTACCATACAAGATACTATCAAGGACCACTTGACGTAACACAGTAACTGGTCCTCAAAGTAAATCCATGATAATGATGAAACGATATGCCATAATACTGATCCAAGCAGGCTGTGATATGTGACAATGGTCATAAACACATCGCAACCACCTGGCCAGTGCTACTGACATTCATGTAAGTTCAAATGAACATTCCCTTAGAATCGACTTCGCAAACAGGCAAGCTCCTCATGATGATGAAATTGGTCTCAGAACAACGCTCATCAAAGCTGGCTGTGATAGGCTCCTAAAGAGTTACTATTACATCCAGCATTGACGCTGTCGGCCTGAGAGTAAACATCTTGCACCGCAAATAGACATGTTCCACATACAAGCGTTGACAGACGTGCTCCGTGATGCAAAAGACAGAGTAGTGAGCTGATCTGCAAAACATCTCACTACCCATGTCTTTCATACCAAAAAGCACTTTTTCGGTACACAAAGGAACTGACAGCTTCAAACATACTCCAGAAATAAATCAAGCATCAGCTCCCCAAGGACAAACTATCAAACTGGACCATGACTTCAGTCATTGTCATCAAAAAAACAATTTGACCACAGAAACAAAAACTTTTAAAAAATCAAAATAATCTTTCTTGTCCATGAGGCAAACAAACTTACAGCAGCCGCCTCTGAGCGACATTCATCCAGGCTCTCTGGGGAAGCAAGTTCCAGAATGACCTGAATAACTTGCTGCTCGATGTCTGATTTCTCTGCCAGTTCTTGTTCTAGCAGGACCAACAGTGCTGCTTGACTGGTTTTCCTCACCTACAAAATTTATTAAAAACTTGTTATAAAAAGAACCAACAAAATAAGTCACACACAATAGCTTACCAAATCACATTTAAAGTGTACAATGAAGCTTTCACCTATTTATTCTCAAATCATTTGCAAAAAAAAAAAAAAAAAAAAAAAACTTCCAAAGCAAACAATCCAATGAGGAAAAAAAATAAGGCTTGGATGGAAGGGGAAATTAAAAGAACCTAGGTGCATTATCAAACTTCAGTTGAGAAATCATTCTGCTTCCTCAGCCCGGACATCTAATATAATGAGAGCTGCCTTTACGTTTAAAAAAGATTTACAAATAGCCAACTTCAACTCACCTGGCTATTTGCATCATTGAGGTACCGGACTACCATGGGAAGAATGTATTGAGGTACAGCATTTATGAATGCATCCTTGTTCTCTTGGCAGTACACAGCTATATGTGGAACCTGCTCCATCAACTCGGAGCGGACAGATGGTTCTGAAAGAATCAAGTGGTTATGGTTCAAGATTGTCATGACGGCTGAAAAAAAATAATTCTGTGATGCCCTCAATTTCAACAGAAAACATCAATAACTACCAAAAGAATGGAGCTCTTTTGCGTTGGTGAGTAGATCTAGCCCGTGTGTGCTCGATGTTCTGCGTTCGTGAACTTCCGCTAACGCACGCCTCTCTGTCCATGTCCCTGTGTGTGTGTGCGTGTCTGTCTCTCCCTAACCCCCGTCCCCTGGATTTATGTTCCCCGATACATGAATTTCTGCTCGAGTTTGTGTGTGTTTGTTGCTTCTTCTAGAATCGCCTGTGTTGGTTCTACACCATAAGCGTAGGCTAAAGCTAGCCTAAGTCTCATTCAAAACACGCCAAGTTGGTAGCTCTAGATGTTCGTCCAATGATATTAGAGAACAAATTGACTTACGACACGAGGAGCTCGAAAGGATAAGCAGGAAACAAGACTTCCATTTTACTGTACAAAATCTTTCAAAAGAGCTTGAATTTATGCAAAATGATATTACCTGATAAAAATTAGTCTATAGATAGTTTTGAATACCATGTAGGTAAAAAGAACTTTGAATGCAAAACATTCAGAAATTGACCTATACTATTTCCTTTCAAACCCCGGAATGTGTGCAACTACTCGTTATGACTTATCAACTTAGAGGGGGTTAGATCTATAACTTATTCATTCATGTGTTTGTAACACATTATGAATAGAAAGCTTAAGATATAGCGTTGTTTTCAGACTTGACACCACGTCACTCGGTGGCAATGCTACCAAGAATAAATGACAGAAAGCATAGGCTATTTTAGCAAAACATTTAGTAAATTCCGGACTCCAACAAAAAATAACGCAGCAATGAAATTTTTAATTTAATATCTCAGTTGTATTTAAGATTGGCTTTGTATTCAACCGCTTACCTGGGTCCTCTGAGAGCTTGGACATGGCATCCATAACAGCAAAGCAATTGTCTTCAGACTCATAAACTGCCCGCAATGTATCCAGGAGTCCTCTTGCAAGCATTTGCCTGGGGGGAAAAAACCAAAAACCAAATGAAACCTAGCCTCTTTCATTGAAAAGCAAACAGGACATACTGACACAACAAAAGAACAAAAAAAACCCTATAAATTGGAAGGGGTAAAAACCTGTTAATATTTCGGAATAGGCAAGTTTCCAGAACAAAAAAAAACCTATAAATTGGAAAGGGTGAAAACCTGTTAATATTTCAGAAAAGGCAAGTTTCCAGAAGAGCATTTACATTGATACCCAAAAATATATGGGAAAAGCAAAACCATTCAGAGACCAAAAAACTTGAGATATAATCCTACCTGTTAAATATGTTGTCACTATCAAGATATTTTTCAAGCCTCTGCAAAGGGGTGAGGTCTTCAACTTCATTGTCAATGCCATATCCTGAGGAAGACAACACAAAATGTATGAGACAACCTTGCATAAAATGCTGAAACATAAAAAAATAAATTTTAAAAGGCTGGCATCACCCACCCCCTTTTTAACATCTGAAGTAAATAATGCACAAGACTAATAGCTCTGGCCGATATAAATTCCATACCTAAGTGTAAGTCCAAGTTCCTCAAAAGATATTCTTCAAAAGCCAGATCATTTGCAATGTCCATGTCACCTTCATGAGGAACATTCATATCATGTTCTTGCACAAAATTTTCGTCACAAAGTTCAGATCCCCGCTTCAGCCTTTTTATTCTACTGATGCTGTGGCCCATTTCATGTAGACAAGACAGCACTAAATAATCAAAATAGGCTTACCTTCTCTGGACCAAAAATAATCTGTTGTGAGAAAATGCTCACAGCAGGCATGAAGAGGTTTTAGTCATGAGTGAGTGTTCACATAGATAATGAAATTCATATTTGGAAATGAGTTGTGTTCACCTTCACTCCCAAGCCAGTGAAATTTTCTTCAGGTAAAAAAAAAAAAAAAAAAAAACACACCCCCCCCCCCCCCCCACCCCGATTTTATCTAGGCTATTCCTGTCCTCTTGTGTTAAACCAGAGAATCTGAATATTTCCAACAAATACAAAGCAAGAGTCCTTTTTTATCTTTAAGCCTACTCAAATTTAGTAGATTTTTTACTGTCACTCCCGAAAACAGATGCACTGCTTCGGGGGTCAAACTGCTTATTGTTTGCTGCAGATCACACATAAAGTAAGTCACTAAAACTGTCGCAAATCAATTATTTCCAAGAAAATTTCAAATCTAACAGTAAAATATCAATGGGTTAAAACGGGGGCGTGTTGCCCGCCTGTAACCCCTCAGATTTTCTTTTACCTCAGGGAGGCAGGCCCCAATTGGTCCAAAGCACGTCTATCTCTAGATCTAGATCTATTAAGAACAATCAGACATCTCAAAAACTATTTGCGACGGAAATGAAGTGGATATTCGAGTTCCTTAGTATAGCCTATAATTTTCCTTTTACCAATTTAGGCCTGGTTAAAAGTTCAATAGTGGCTTTCCTTGGTCTGAGTCTAATTATTTTATTTTAATTTTAGGATGAGGAAAAGAAAAAAAAAACCTTCCGGGACCGGATTCGATGCCACGTTTGAAACTTGGGAGCACTGAACATTAGACTTAGGCCTTGCGAACGTAGACAGCTTGTATACGTTCTCTAGGCCTAACTTAAAGATAGTATTTTTAGGTAGATCAAGAATCTATAGTATGACGACACTGTGGACAGGAACTACTACTTATACTGAGTTGCACCGTCTTGTTACTGTTATCCAAACGTCTTTCGACACAAACTCAAATGATTATGAAAGATGAACAGGACTACTTTTAAGCAATGTCAGAAACAATTGTTAGATCTATAATCTAGATCTAGATCTACCCAATTTTGATCGGAATAAGACTATAAACAAAAGGAGTCAAATCCTAGGAGGTTTGTCAAGAAACTGAGAAAGCTTCCACAATTCAGGCAGAACTACAATATTATGTCAAAACGATGGCTACTACTAGATCTAGATTCTAGTACTGGCGTTTCAAATAGCACGGGAGCTGTTCAGAACGAGGCGTTGTAAATAGCGCCTGCCAAAAATAAAAGAATACCAAGAGTTCCAGCGATATAATGGGCCTTTTACCACAGCTCTCATGGCACCCATTTTGCTTCGGACAATTAGATCTAGATCTAGAAGAGGAAATTCCCTTTCCTCCCATGGCAGGTCTAAACCTAGATTCTAGTCCTATAATTCATAATTCAGGTGTACACAGACCCGGAAACCGGGAACAAATTCACAAAGTATACAGACCCGGTAGGGAAGATCTTGTGATTTCTGAAAGTTTCAGTGCCCAGACCCGGAAGTGTGTGTGTGCGCAAGAGAGGGGGAGGGAGGGAGAGAGAGGGGGAGGGAGGGAGAGAGAGGGAGGGAGGGAGGGAGAGAGAGACAAAGAGAGTGGGAGTGGGTAGAGAACAGGGGGAAGAGCTAGCAAATATCACAATTACACATGCCCCAGTTGACAGGAAGGAATGAGAGAAAGTAAGTATTATTATTTAGTAGAGATTTTACGGTGCTTGCAACTGCATAAGGTCGTATGAGCACCAAGGGTTGGATGTCAACTGAGAAGTCTTTACCAGGAATCGGGCCTACTCTGCTCACCTCTCTAGCTTCAATAGCACAAAGTCTGTTTCCACTTTAGCGGCACCCTGGAAATAGCGGGTCACGAGTGTGACAAACATACAAAAGAAGTAGAGGTCAAAATGCCCCCCTTTGGAAATAGCCTAAAGACACTTCAGTCAGTGGCACCCTTTATAATAAGGCAGCCTAATTTAGGTTCTGATGTTTTGTTTTTCCTGATCTAGAACTGGATCTAGAGACCTATATATAGATCTAAAGACTACAGCCTCCACTCTTGTACAATTGCGGTCCAATTTGCACTAAATCACACTAGGCCTAGCACAGAGTACTGGATATCGATACGGATTTAAATAGTATTAATGTTTTATGTTTTCGAAGTGGCCAGAGTCCGAACAGCCACTGAAGGCTATTCAGACTCAAATTCCAGTGCGTGTGCGCAATCACCGGTTGTACCGTAAGCGAGGTCTACTCGAGTCCGAATAATCTCCCGTTGCTATTCGCACTTTACTACTGGTAGGCTATTACACTGTGTTTCATGACTACAAAGGGATCAAAGCATAAAATTCATGAAAGTGGCTATTCTCACCCGCCCGGAAGTTCTCGCAAGATCAACTCCTCCCCTCTTCTCTCTCTCTCCGTCTCTTTCTGAATACTGTCTATCGGTGTGGACGATCAAATTGACCAAAACAAAGTTAAAAAATGATGTTAAAACACAAAAGTAAATAAATTTGGTTGTCGACAAAGATGCTACAGCTATTTAACTTTTCGAATCGAGCCGAACTACGCCGGTCGCCATTTTGTTTAACCCGGAAATTCTCGCGCTACTCCTCTCTCTCTCTCTCTCCACTGCCCACAGACAAAATTGTACGCTTTTACTTTTAGTAGGCTACAAAATTGTAATGGAACGTTTGTTCACGGCACAGAATTCTACCATTTTTCTGTTATCAGTGTAGAATTCTGTGGTTTAGGGTGAACGCGCACTGGGTGAGAATAGCCACAAGACTCGCCTGCACTATTCTCACTCCGGGTGAGAATAGAGGTGGCCAAAATTCATAATCAGTCCTTATGCCTTATAAGACACACCCCCCCCCCCCCCCATATATATAATATATATATATACATATATATATATATATCTCTTGCTTTTCCTTTCCATCTTCCCCAGGCCCGCCCCATCACATTCACCCCCTTTTTTTTGCATATATATAGCCTTGATCTATATTCACTCCCATATCGTGGCCCACTGCCAGGCCCTACTATTATCGGTGTTTCCAATAGCTGAAGCTGAAAAGTAAGGAAAAGGGGGTCACAAGTCCCCAGCACGGAAACAGTCGGGGGTGGTTCAGGGGTCAAAGCCCCCGAAGAAATTGAAATTTAGTACTTTTAGAGGGTTGAAAATGGCATTTGGGAGCCTGTTTGAAGAGATTGACAACAACCCATACTACCTTTTTTTTCACCAAGATTTTGTCTTGTTTGATGTCTTCACCAACATAGATCTATCTTTCCATTGCTGGCAACGTAGGTTCCCCTTCCATTGTTACTATAATTCAATTAATTTGTCATCGCACCATTGATAGAATGCAAACCTGGGAAGAATGAATAGATATGTGCCTTCACAATAGTTACCCAGCGTATACTCTAATTTTCCTAAATTTTCATGTCTGAATGTGATATGTCACAACCTCAGAACACCACTTCGAATTTTTCTTGATGTTAGTTTTAGCCCAAATTTCTTTCGTTGCGGCTCTTATCACGTTCCCGGGCCGTAGAACCTCTGCATTGATGATCTCTAGATATCTAGAATCTAGATCTAGACAACATATTTGCAAAAAAGTTTCCGACAGTTGTTTTCTGTCTAACATCACACAAGTCAATATACTTGATCAGCGCGCATATTTTCCAGCCGCGGCAACAGTACGAAGATAGGCAAACGGAATGAGGGAATGATAGGAGGAAAGTAGTGGCACAAAAACTATCAATTTGCAGGTAAAAAATTCGGCGCCACAAATTCACTGCCAACCAACCCGCAATTAATTCATGGGGCACAGCGGAATAATGGCCGATGGCAGGAAAGACACAATCAGGCAGGTTTCCATAACAAACTATTGCAGAGAGAATTACCGTAAATGTAACTAAAAGACGATACGAAGGCGAGTACGAATCTTTTGCTATGGAATTTCGGCAGACCTACGCTGTCCCAGATTTTAACGGAGGGAGTTGATAATGATGGAGGAACAGGTAGGCTACGGAACTAGATATATATCTAGATCTAGCAGAAAGTACGGACTTCCGTAAACGAAGTCACGAAGTATGACCCGGTAGGGGAACTCTTGTAATTTCTGAAAGTTTCAGCGCCCAGACCCGGTAGTGTGTGTGAGTGTGTGTGTGTGTGTTGAGAGAGAGAGAGAGAGAGAGAGAGAGAGAGAGAGAGAGAGAGAGAGAGAGAGAGAGAGAAGGAGAGAGAGAGAGAGAGAGAGAGAGAGAGAGAGAGAGAGAGAGAGAGAGAGAGAGACAGCAGGGGGGAAGTGCTAGCAATGTACATGCCCCAGTTGGCAGGAGGGAACGAGAGAAAGATAAAGAGTGGAAAATAGGTGGAGAGAAAGAAAGACAGACAAAGAAATAGAGAATGCGAGTGATACAGAGACAGAGGAGAGAGAGAGAGAAATAGATCCTAGAGAGGGTGACAGCTCGATCGTAATTATGACGTTCTTTTCTTCAAATTGTGATTGCTCCAACTCCAAAACGGAGGAAAAACGATCGTTCATCGAAAAGACATCTGCAATATTCGTTTAGATCTAGATTCTAGATCTAGATCTAGATTCTAGAAGTAATCGTCGGTGGGGTTACAACTAGATCTAGATCTAGATCTAGATTTCTAGATCTAGAGATCTAGAGGCTAGTATCCCAAACGGGACCGCAATTGCATAGAAGTCTGTGTAACAACAGGGAATCCTTGAACCTACAAACATGAAAATCAGCAATACAGCTGAAGTGCTTGTATTTGTAGAAAAAAAGGCCATGTCCCACGAATGAACTCCAGTAACCTAGGCCTAAACATGAACAATTCAACCTCTGGTTCTTCTATTCAAAGTAAAATCTCAGAAAAAAATCCTGGGTGAAGTTTAGAACCTGAAAGAGAATACAGTGAATCTTGGAACAAACCGGTGAACGAAAATATCTTTCAAATTGTGAACGCTCCGAATTGTGAAAACACAACTTCAGATTTCGGTAAGATTGAAGAATACCGGACCAGCGGACTGACTGCCTCCTAGATCTAGACGTCTATGTCTCAACCATAGGAATTCATAATTTTCCCGTATAGATCTAGATCTATCTCTCAATGGAGAATCTCGAACCGGTAGATCTATTCATTAAAATTTTGTCAGGGGGTAGACCCCCTGAACTCCCCCCCCCCCCCCCTCCTCCACCCGCCCCACATTCTCGCGCAATAATGTACAAGTGGTCTGGTATTCTTCAATCTTCCCGATCTGTCTAGATCTAGATCTAGATATCTAGATTTATTGATTTAGATCTATACAAATCTATTGGAGAACATCAGAAAAAAAAACTGTTGAAGTCCAGTAGGCAAATCTTATCCGTGGGAAGGCTAAACCTTGGCTATAGATTAGCAGCCTACTGCTAGAATCCATACATTCATTACGTGAACATGTAAATCTAGACTCCTCTAGATCTAGACTCTAGATTCTAGATAAAAGACAGTCTAGTCTAGATTTCTAAGTCTAAGTGTTCTCGAAGGAGAACAAGTCTTGTTCTAGAAAACCAATACATTTATACTTCTTTTTCTTGTTACATTTATCAGCTTCAGTACAAGAGTAGATCTACCACTAGAATCTAGGCACAGGCTAGTTGTACGAGTACACCTCGTGGGTGTCATCGAATGAATGACCTAAATTCGTAGTGCTAGAATCTATGACGGTGTCGCACGTCACTTGTGACTCACAACAAGGGTAGTAAATACGCAATTACCAATGCTATGGCACTAAATAACTCTATACCAACCGTAGGTACCACACGTGTGAGTTCAAAATGATTAAATCCTGAAATAATTCAACAGCGGGTGTGAACACCATGCACTCGATCTCCACCGACAGCCTTGATGGCGGGAAAATGTAAAGCGGGCCAAGTTGAAAAGGTCGGGAAAAGTGGTCACATGACCTCGCACCATGATGGATCCGATTCGGGTCCCACTTTTTACACAATGGGCAGGTCAGCATTGTCGTTGTATACCTATTACTTACTTCATAAAACACCATACTATGAACAAAATTACTGCCACAATATCAAACACTAACAACAGCACTTGATCAATACGACTAGACACAGACGATCGAAGAAAAAAAACATGGACGGCGGGAAAGGGCATGATGCTCCCTCAAACCAGCACATTTTCTTTCATTTAGGGTAACGCCAATGTTTGCAATGAAATAGCCAAAAAACTGAACATTCCAACTTACCATCTTCACTGTTTTCGTCTGTATCATCTTGGTAAAATTCCAAATCTGAAAAACATGAGAAGATAGATGTATTTGGCGCAAAAAGTTTAAATTTTTAAGAAACAAAGTAAATGATGTGAGGTGGACTCACCCGCCATGTTGGAAAAGACCACGAGGTATGCTTACAGCGTTTTCATTGGATGGTTTGATGTCAATATTGGATGATGATTGGTTCATGTGAATTTGTTTCTTTTCGCTACGGAAAAGTACGAGAATGGCCGATGACTCACATCCAGCTACTCTACTTGCGTAAACTTCATTGTCCGTATTTCGTGAATGAAACCGTGTTTGTATCGTAAATTAGACCCACGTGTTCCGGAAAATATAGTTTACGTACTCGTACATCTCCGTGTGGTTCTACAACCGTGCAAGCGTTCAGTATTCGAGAAAAGTGAAAACGAAATTCAATCTTTCCTTTGTCTAGTTGAGTCCGAGGGACACACAAAGAAGGGAGCGATGAGTCGATCAGCTGGGTCCCCGTGCTCCCTTGGTGTTTGCCCCCGTTTTCTCGTGGACAAAGAGAGTTTGATGAAAGAAACTCGAGGGCCACCAACAGCAGCGGCATTGCAACAACACACTATACTATGAAGATTACCGTTATCGACATGATCTATTGCTTCTACACACTATCCTAACCCCAGTCACCAAACTCTTACTTACTAAATTTCTTATTTAATTATATTATCGAATGAAACCTGGTAGCTGGTGTAACATATCTTGTACTAGGAAATAATTCAAAAGTTTAAAAACAGGACAGCTTTCTCAAACTTCTCATAGAGAACTGGAACTAATGCCGTTTTCTTCTTCTGTAGCCTAATGAAAACTTGGTGGATTAGAAGGTATTTTAAAGGCTTCTTTTATAGGGGGTGGGGGCTTTTTATTTTTATTTTTATTTTGCTTTGGTGGTGCTGTCAATTGTCATTGTTTTGAATTTGAGGTTATAGTTTTTTTTAATGGGGGTCAGTGTGACACAAGACGCAGCATTCTTGCATTTTAAAATTTTTTTTGGTTGTTTGTTTTTCAACGAAATCCCAAATATTGTTCTTTCAAAGGTTAAAGGGTTATTATAGAGTAGATACGATCATGTAAACTTTAACTAGGAAACTATTTTTGGATTTTTATCAACTACACGATGCCGGTACACGGTACTAAATCGTAGACATAAATAGATCATTAGAATAAATTATATAACATGCAGTACAAATGGTGGGGGGAGGGGTATTTACACGTTTCTAACAAGCCTCAATACAAGCATTTTTGTAAGCACAGTGTTACTAATAACTAATAACTTGTAATTTTCTTTGTCAATCGCCTTGGTTGCTGTATTTTAAAAGAATACATTGTAGTCCTACCAAGTTCGTATTCATCAGTAGGCCTATTACATGTAGTAAAAGAATGTTAACAGTTTTTGGTTGTTGGTTTTTTTTTTCGGGGGGGGGG